CAGCCCACCCTGGGGGTCTCTCCCCCCGGCCGAGCCCTGCTCTTTGTCCTGCTCTGCCCGGTGGGGCTGAGCACGTTTAGCACACTTTGGGGCAGTTTTGGGTTATTTTGGGTTATTTTGGTGGGATTTTTTGGGGGATTTTTTTGGGATTTGGGTTATTTTGGGGTTGATCTCAGGGGTCTCTCTCTCCGCAGCCCACCCTGGGGGTCTCTCCCCCCGGCCGAGCATTTTGGGGCAGTTTTGGGTTATTTTGGGTTATTTTGGGTTATTTTGGTGGGATTTTTTTGGGGATTTTTTTGGGATTTGGGTTATTTTGGGGTTGATCTCAGGGGTCTCTCTCTCCGCAGCCCACCCTGGGGGTCTCTCCCCCCGGCCGAGCCCCGCTCTTTGTGCTGCTCTGCCCGGTGGGGCCGAGCACACTTTGGGGCAGTTTTGGGTTATTTTGGGTTATTTCGGTGGGATTTTTTTGGGGATTTTTCAGTATTTTGGGTTATTTTGGGGTTGATCTCAGGGGTCTCTCTCCGCAGCCCACCCTGGGGGTCTCTCCCCCCGGCCGAGCCCTGCTCTTTGTGCTGCTCTGCCCGGTGGGGCCGTACTTCCCGGGGGGCTTCGGGCCCATCCGGCTCCTGGCCGACCCGCGGCACGTCCGGGCCTGGCCGGGGGGCGCCGGACACTGCAAGCTGGGCGGGTGAGTGACCACTGACCACTGACCACAGTGACCACTGACTGCTGGGAGTGACCACTGACCCCTGGGAGTGACCACTGACCACTGGGAGTGACCACTGACTGCTGGGAGTGACCACTGACTGACCACAGTGACCACTGACCCATGGGAGTGAGCACTGACTGCTGGGAGTGACCACTGAGAGTGACCACTGACTGCTGGGAGTGACCACTGACCACTGAGAGTGACCACTGACTGACCACAGTGACCACTGACTGACCACAGTGACCACTGACCCCTGGGACTGACCGCCGGAGGCTTTGGGGCGGTTGGGATTTTTTGGGGTTTTTTTGGGATATTTTTGGGGATATTTTGGGGACACCTCGAGGATTTTTTTTTATATTTTAGGGGCGGGTTTGGGGATATTTTTGGGATATTTTTAGGATATTTTTGGGATATTTTTGGGATCCTTTGAGGATATTTTTGGGACATTTTTTGGGACATTTTGGGGTGTCCCCCAGGAACTCGGGGCCATGCCTGGAGCTGCAGGAGGCGGCGCGGGGCCGGGGGTTTTGGGGCTATTTTGATGATATTTTTGGGATATTTTTAGGATATTTTTGGGATATTTTTGGGATCCTTTGAGGATATTTTTGGGACATTTTTTGGGACATTTTGGGGTGTCCCCCAGGAACTCGGGGCCATGCCTGGAGCTGCCGGAGGCGGCGCGGGGCTGGGGTTTTTGGGGCTATTTTTGGGATTTTTCGGGAATATTTTTGGGATATTTTTTGGGATATTT